TTTTTACAGTTGCCAGTGAAAAATAAAATTTCTCATGCAGCTAATCTTCCCCAGTGCTTTTTTTTATAAATAACTTACAAGATCCCTTTTGGGTTATTCCATTAGTCACTCGTTCTCGAAAATAGGGTTTTCTAGTACCCTTTTGGGTTCCATTTTTTTCACCAATTTACAACAGTGATCTCCTTTGGCTGAAATACCTGGACGGGGTTTCGGGGATTCCCCTCCGTGACCGGGCCCATGGGGAAACAGGGTGATAACCAGGCTGTTATGCTAACCGCATGTAACCCACTACGAACCACGCCCGGCTATCGTACTGATTTTAGTACCTGTCCGTTCCTTCTTGAAGACAGCAGAGGTTATGGGTAACCTCCTTTTATGCTAGGGGGAGTTGAACAGTCGGGGCCCCTGAATTTACTGTGCGCCTCTCAGTGTACCCGTGGGGCCCCTCATTTTATGGTGGGTTTGTTGCATCTCCTCCGATCTTTTGTTTTTCGTAAGAGGTTTTTACATTTTCTTGGTACCAAATGTTGAAGCGCGTATGCATTTATATGCGTGTACTGTGTGCGACGCGGTGAGGGGCGCACACGCATGCACGAAAAAAATACAATAAATAAAAAATTTTTAAATTTGATTCGACGTCCGGGGGAAAACTTCATAAAACTGGAGCAGGGGGAGAGTGAAAACTGAGCGCGGGAAAAGGCAAGTCCTAAATTTTTGGGGGGAGACCCGTCAGGTGACGCGGGGAAAACTGCCGTAAACCCTGGACCAGACCATGCATGTCCCCCCAACTTAACAACCTCCTCTCCATCCCCACCGGAAGATGAAGCGCCCCACAAGAAGAAAATTTATCTCCCCGAGATAGGGAACATTTATCAGCCCCCTCAAAATTTAAAAAAAACTTATCACTTTTCCCTTAAAAACAAAAGTAATAATTTAGCTTTTGATTTCCCAGTTTATTTTAAATTTAAATTTAACAACGCATACTGACAACCGGTTTTTGACATATAGAAATTTTAGTTGAAGCACAAATGTTCTTGTGAGACTGCCATCTAATCCAGTGTTTATATAAGGAAGAAAGTAGTGAGTTACTTACTCACTTGCGGGGATAAAACATGTAACCCACAGAAGGTCTGATTTATCCTGTGTCGAGTTCCCCTTTAAATCAAAAGCTTCCCCTTGACAGCAAGTTTATATGCACGCTCTATATATTCTTTTATACAAAAACAAGAGGTTTTGGGGGGGACAACGAAGCGAGGCGCTCCTCATTTCTAGTACGATGCAGAAAAGGGGCCCAAATTTGAACCCACACCTCTTTTAAGCTAGACGGGTCGACGTCTTGGTTGAACTTAAAGGTTGATTGCTTCATCAAACCCAAATTAGCCAAACCGGGAAATTACCGTGATTGGTCCCCCGTTATAAATACCTGAATTTATTCGTTGTATAAAAAAAGTTTTTCTTGACCGGTGGGCAAACTTTTTCAGCCCTAAAATTCGTGTTGTCGATAGAAGATGGGAGGCCCCCATAAGAATTTAACAGGTGTTTCTTCGGTAGCCCCCCCCTTGTATACACGGGAGGTGCATGTTTTTTAATTATGTGGCCAGGGGTTTGATTTAGTCCCCATTTTATAATCAAAGTATTCTTGCCTAAAGCATCTAATTACCCAAAGATCAGGGGTAACGAGAGTCGAGGTGGCAGCATAGAGATATAGACATTTGCGATATGACTTTCAAGTGTGGCATGATAATGTCCGGGGATTTCAGCACTGAAGAGATATATGCCTTAAGACAGGGGCGTTGAAATGTTTTAGTGCGTCTTCATTTTGGTAACCTAACATTTTTTGTTTCTGACGAAGAAACGAGGGAGACAGACAACAGACGGGAACAGACACCATCCTCAAGAAATCGCATTTCATAAACTCATTGAGTTTTCGTCTCCGGGGATACAGAAAGTCACAAGGTGTTAGCGCGGAGGAAAACATCTCTTGATCCATGAAGGTCAGCACAACAGGTATTTTTTCCTCTTTTTTCTTTAAAGGGCACAAAAAACAAAGAATCTACAAGTTAGTTATCATTCCGCCGGGCCCATGTTACATACTAACAGACGGTAAAATAAAATATAGAAAATTTGATGGAATCGTAGGGCCACCTTGGCGAGAGGGTGTCCCTGGAGAGATGTGAGTACCACCCAATTGTGGTTGCAGGGGGCGAGACTCAGCACCCGGGGCCCCCCCCTCTTCACTGATCGCTCTATTCCTCTCTCCTCCTTCCGAGCTTTGTCATACCTCGTTTAAAACTATGTATGGTTCCCGCCCCACTAATCACTTTCGGCTATTCCACTTCCGACGACTCTGATGAAAAAATACTTTATAAATCCCCGTGACTGTCTGGTCTTCAGCTTCCAATTGGACCCCCTTTTTTCTGTGTCCCCTCTCTGGAACAACCTGTCTCTGTCCACCTTATCTATTCCACGCAGTATTTGTATGTCGTATCATGTCTTCCCCTGACTCTCCTGTCCTCCGTGTCGTAGTCCGATTTCCCCCCTTCTCGTAGGACATTCCCCTGACCTCGGGAATAGCCTTGTTGCAAACCTTTTTTACTTTTTTTCAATTTCTTGACGGCTTGACCGGGGGGTTCCAAAATGGTGCTGCATACTCCAGTAGGGCCTGATGTACGAGTGTACGTTCTTGAACGTTCCTTTTTAAAGGATCGAACGCTATCTCAGGTTTTCCAGGCGCCCCTATGCTGCAGCAGTTATCTGGTTAGTGGCCTCCGGAGATATACTCGGTTTATTGACCCCCAAAATCTTTTTCCTTGAGCGAGGGGTCAGTCTTTGGGGCCCCAGCCTATATTTCATTTGGCAGGGCTGAATTCAAGAAGCCATTGTGGACCACGGTCCATCCTGTACAGGTTTTTTTTTGAAATCCGCCGATCCTCGTCTGATTTAATTTTTCCCATTAACTTCACTCACCTGCGAACAGGGAACCCTGAGTTATCCCTTCATATGTCATTCACATATACCAAAAATTCACTGGCCTAGGACCCGACCCCCGTGGGCCCGCCGTCACAGGGGCCCCTTGTGAACTCATTTTCCCTACCCGATCGTTGTTCCTCCCGTCGGGATTCTCTGATCCATTGCAGCGCCCCCTTTCCCGTTATCCCATGATCCTTAGTTTTTTCACTAATCTCTGTGGAAAACTGTGTCGAAGGCCTTCTTCAGTCCAAGAAAAATTTAATCAACCCACCCCCTCCTTTGTGTCTTCTGTAACTTTGCAAAAACTCCCAAAAGGTTTGTGAACAGGGTTTTTCCTTCCAGAATCCGTGCTGGGTATCGTTTATAATCTTTCCGTTTTAGGTGCTCCACCACTCTCCTCCGATAAACTTCTCCATGACTTTGCATACTATACCTCAGTGCCGGTCTGTAATTTAGCGCCTCTTTTTTTGTCTCCCTTTTTTAAAAATGGGAATACATTTGCGGTCTTCCTACTTAGGTAGTTGCCCTTTCAAGGGTGGTTTTAAGACTGTGGGTTTTGGGTCCACAGTTTCCGCTCCCTCCTAAGACCAAGGGGGATGTTGTCTGGGCCCCCTTGCCCCTTTTAGGGATCAAGGTCACTTAGTTCTTCACCTCCTCCCAGTTTTTTTGTTTTCATCCCGCACTTGTTGGGGGATTTCCCCGTTGATGTTCCCCCCGTCCTGTCTTCCCAAGTCCTTCCTGTTTCCCCTGTAAAAAATTTTCCCTTTAAAATTTTTGTTTTACTGTTCGCAACCTCTTGATCGTTTCTTTTAGTTCCCCCCTTTTTTTCCCACCTTATCACCTGGGCTTTGACTGTTGTCTTTCTCCTAAGTGGCATACAGCATTTTTGGGTCAACTTGACTTTTCGATGCTAGCTTTTGTACTGTCGCTGGGGCCCCCCTCCTTTTCTGTGCATATTTGTTTCTGACTTTCGACTGTCATCTTGTTTTTTCCCCGGGGCCTTTGCTTTTGTACCTCTTTTCCCTTTTTTAATGCACTTAGTTTTTTGCCTCCCTACACTTCGGGTAAACCAAGGACTCGCTTTTTTCTTACCCTTTTTTCTGTTGCCCTTGGGAACAAACCTTTCCCTGCCCCTTGATTTTGTTGTTTCATTTCTACCTACACCGGGGAAAAGGGCATTGCCTGGTGACCGCCGCCACACAAAACACACACACACACACACACACACAAAACACACAACACACACACACACACACCCACACACACAACACACACAGGTGTTCCCGAAGGGGAAACCCGAAACAAGGGGTTACAATTGGAAGTTTGGGAAAACCGATGAGTCAAAGGGATATTAGGGAAAAAAATTTTTCACCAAGAGTTGTTGGGAAAGGAAAGTCTGGCAATGATTAGTGGGGCAGGACCATACTAGTTTTAAGACGATGTTTATAAAGCCCATGGGCAAAAGGGAGGGTAGGCCCAGTGCGGGGACGAAGAGGCGGGCCAGGAGCTGAGTCTCGACCCTGCAAAAAACATTAGGTGAGTACACACACTGGTAAAACCCACCCCGGGGGGTTTGGGCATGGTTTCTGGTGGCCGGGGAGTGCCAAGTGCCACACCGCGGGAGGGGGGGCAATGCCTCCCCCCCCCACGCTGTCCACCACCCCCCGGGGGAAGGGGGGATGCAAGCGCCCCCCTCCACACACACAAAACACACACACACTGGTGCTTACACCCCTTTGCATCAACCACCGCAGTGAGCGGTCGCAACCACCCCTCCCTTGTCTTCCACTCCATGCCGGGGGTGGGCCGCACCCCCCCCGCACGCGGCCCCCCGCATGCTCGCGAGTGAGCACACCCCCCGCAGGGAACCAAACCGAGGGGGCGTGTGTAAACCTGTGTATGTGGCCGCAGCTGCCGCCACCCCCAAAGTCGTTTAGGGCGCGCGCCCGGGAGGCGTCGCTGCCCCCCCTCTTCCCCGGAGGGCCGGCCCCCGCCTGGGGGTGCGGGGCCCCCCCCAACAGCAGCCCTGAAATGCTGGGGTGGGTGGTGGGCGGATCGCTACCCGCCTGGCGCCCGCCCCGTCACCCCCCACCTGGAGATGATGGTTTTTGTTCCCCCACTCCACTCCCAAGACCACAGGTGAGTCCATCCCAAGACCACAGGTGAGTCCATCCAAGACCACAGGTGAGTCCCCCCCAAGACCACAGGTGAGTTACCCCGGACCACAGTACCACCCAAGACCAAATTTAGTCCACCCCAAGACCACGGGGAATCCCCCCCAAGACCCCGGGGGAGTCCAAACCCCCAGGGGGCAAACCCGGGGTGATCCCCCCCCAAACCACGGGTAGTCCACCCCCCAAAACCCGGGTGGTCCCCCCCCCAAACCAGGGGGGAGTCACCCCAAGACCACGGGGTTCCACCCCAAAACCCCGGGTGAGTCCACCCCCAAAACCACGGGGGAGTCCACCCCCCAAAAACCACGGGTGAGTCCACCCCCAAACCACGGGTGGTCCACCCCAAGCCACGGGGGTCTACCCCCCAAAACCCCGGGAGTCCCCCTCCAAGACCGCAGTGGTCCACCCCCGGAACCCCAAATGAGTCCACCCACCCGGGACTTGATCTCTTTGGCTCATAATCTCCCTGCTTTTTTTAATCTTCCTGGGATTCGTTCTCCCACCAGGCTTTTACCGGCATTTGATCTTCCATCCAGCACCTTTTCCTGCATCCCTCTCTCTCCACCCGAGAAATCTTTCACTGAAATCTCAATTTTTTATACAAGAAAACCAGAGTCATTTAGGTATGACAAATCTTGAGAAGCGTCTTGGGGGCAGGGTGACTGTTGGAAGCAGGTGGAAAGGAGTGGGGATGTTGGAAAGGCAGGGGGAAGTAGGGTAAATTTGGAAGGGGAGGTTGAAGGTATGGTGACGTTTTAAGGCAGGTTGAAAAGGGAGTGGGACTGTTGGAAGGCAGGTTTTAAGGGAGTGGGGGACTGTTGGAAAGGGAGTGGGAAGGTAGTGGGGGACTGTTGGGGAACAGGTGAAGGTAGTGGTGACTGTTGGAAGGCAGGCTGGAAGGGGATGGGAGTTGGGGGTATAACTTGCGTAAAAGTGAAACAGAGGGGAAGTGGTGAACTTTCGTGTTTTGTGTTGTGACAACAGTGTTAATACACCATAACGTACTTGGGGGGTGTACGTATACAGATATTCTCGTAATTTTCGTAATACTTACGCTATCACGCCTCAGTACGCTTCACACACAAACAGGAGGTTTCTAGGTTCTTGGCTGTGCGGCCACTTTTAAAAATGAAATAAAAATATCCTTTAGTACCCAAGCAGAGAATATTTTCACAGGTCTGAGTCCTTTCCAAACGGTCCTCAATCTTTGATTACCGACAGTGTTGGTAGTGTTGAAGGGTGTTTTTGGTACTTTTTTCCCGGGCTTTTTTGTGCAACAGGCAGGTTGAGAGGTCCCTTGTTTCCTCTGTGTTACCCTTTTGAGGTGACGATTCTCAGCATGATGGTGGGTAAAGGGGTAACTGCCGACAATGTCAAGGAAAAAAAAAAAAATTCCCAGCGAGACTGGAAGTAGTGAGCGGCCTTAAAAAAAGATATGGGCTTTATCCAGTCGGCAGGTCCACCCGAAAAAAGTGCTTCAAAAAACAAACTTGGGTTTGTGCATCGTTTTCTTTCGTCCCAGGTTTATTCTGGTAACCCCGTCTCGCTTAAAGGCGACTTACATGCCTCCCAACCCCCTTTTTGCGCGAAGAAATCTCGCGGTCAATTTTTATTTTTGGCAGGGTTTAAATTTACTCTCTTATCAGCCCAGGGGAGCATACGTAGCCCAACAGGTGCTTTTAATAACAAATAAGCTATGGGGTAACTCCATGGTCTCAAACACAAAGTACGCTGGAAAAACCCAGCGGTATGCCAAACACTTTGAATGTTTTTTAATTTGGGGTTAAAGCCCCGTTCACCCCCATCCTGCGCTGCATGACCCTTGTAGGTTTTGCGCTTTTTTTTTGATTTTAAAAAAGTTCACCATCACCCCCAAAAAAATGCAAGGAAGGAATTTAAAATAAACTGCGTATACTTACATACAGTGACACCATCTTTTTACTAGTCTTTTTTGTGGTAGCCTTCAGATCCCATATAATTTCATAACCTATACGTCAAAAACTATACTATTTATAAACCGCTGGGCGAATAGATCACTTCTAGATAACGCCACAACGAAAGAAACATGTTATCAATGCGTCCGTCGAGTGTGAGGTAAAAAAACACGAGTGTAACTTTTCTCATGTGTCCGTAAAGCTTCTTGATTTTAAACCCTACCAGGGCGGGGGGGGTTTAACCCGCGGGCAAAGTCTCAAAACTCCGACCGTCGCGTTAGCCATGGACCCGTACCACGGGCCACTGCCACTGGACCAGCTACCCCGGACCCCTTGGGGTAGCCACTAATTAAGATTCTCCAACTGGTATATTTCTACACCAAGGAAGGTTAGCATAGGCACCACTGGCCACAATCAAATTTTTTTCAGATTTTTTTTTTGACGGTGTATCAAGCCCCCCACCACACCGTGTGAGAATGTTTGCACACGGAAAGGGGTGGATCAAGCCCCACCACACCGTGTGATGAATGATGCACACGGGGCGGTGGTTCAAGCTTCACCTCACCGTGTGATGAATTATGCACATGAAATAAGAAAGAAGGTACCACTGCAAACAGGGGCCTACTGGCCTATACTTGGCAGGGTCATTCTCAAATCCAGTTCACTACACAGGGACGGTGGATCAAGCCTGCACCATTCAAGGTTGTAATTCCTATCTAATGTCTCATCTCGACACGTCACCAATCCTCCCCTTCTAAGAATTGAAGCTACACCTCCTTTCCTCATATCAACCTGATTATTTCCGACTCCCCCCCTCGGTTTAGCGCTTCCCGTGTTTTTTAACCAAATGGAATGATAAAAACTTAAATTTCATTAATTGTGGTTTAGTGTGTCAGTGGTTTTTAAAACAGTGGTGTGTGGTCCAATAGTGGTTAGTGTGGTCTAGTGGTTTAAACAGTGTTAGTGGTCCAATAGTGGTTAGTGTGGTCGTGGTTAAACAGTGGTGTTGGGTCCAATAGTGGTAGTGTGTGTCAAGTGGGTTAAAACAGTGGTGTAGTGGTCAAATAGTGGTTAGTGTAGTCAGTGGTTAAACAGTGGGCAGTGGTCCAATAGTGGTTAGTCGTGGTCAGTGGTTAAACAGTGTGCAGTGGTCAATAAGTGGGTTAGTGTAGTGTGGTTAAAAAACAGTGGTGTGTGGTCCAGTAGTGGTTTGTTGGTTCAGTGGTTTTAAACTAGTGGTGTAGTGGCTCAATAGTGGTTAGTGTGGTCAGTGGTTAAACAGTGGTGTAGTGGTCAATTGTGTTAGTGTGGATCAGTGGTTTAAACAGTGGTGTGTGTCCATTAGTGGTTAGTGTAGGCGTGGTTAACAGTGGTGCAGTTGTGTCCAATAGTGGTTAGGTGGTCAGTGGTTAAACAGTTGGTGTAGTGGTCCAAATAGTGGTTAGTGTGGTCAGTGGTTTAAACATTGGTTTAGAGGTCCATTAGTGGTTAGTGTGGTCAGTGGTTAAACAGTGTGTAGTGGTCAATAGTGGTTAGTGTAGTCAGTGGTTTCAACAGTGGGGCAGTGGTTAATAGTGGTTATGTGGTCAGTGGTTAAACCGTGGTGTAGTGGGCAATAGTGGTTAGTGTGGTAGTGCGTTTAACAGTGGTGTAGTGGTCCAATAGTGGTTTTGTAGCAGTGGTTTAAACAGAATGGTTGCAGTGGTCCAATGTGGTTAGTGTGTGGGTCAGTGGTTAAAACGTGGTGTGTGGTCCAATAGTGGTTAGTGTAGTCAGTGGTTAAACAGTGGTGCAGTGGTCCAAGAGTTGGTTAGTGTGGTTCAGTGGATTAATTAAAACAGTGGTGTAGTGGGTCCAATAGTGGTAGTCTGTGGTCAGTGGTTAAACAGTGGTGCTGTGGTCATAGTGGGTAGTGTGGTCAGGGGTTTTAAACAGTGGTGTAGTGTCAATGAGTGGTTAGTCGTGGTCAGAGGTTAAACAGTGGTGTTGTGGTCCAATAGTGGTTAGTGTGGTCAGTGGTTAAAAAGTGGTATTGTATGTGGTCAATAGGGTTAGTGTGGTCCAGTGGTTAAACCGTGGTGTAGTGGTTCCAATAGTGGTTAGTGTGGTCAGTGGTTAAACAGTGGTGTAGTGGTCCAAATAGTGGTTTAGACTGTTGGTCAGTGGTTAAACAGTGGTGTAGTGGTCCTTAGTGGTTGTGTAGTCACGTGCGGTTAAACAGTGGTGCAGTGGTCCAATAGTGGTTAGTGTGGTTCAGTGGTTTTAAACAGTGGTGTAGTGGGTTCCAATAGTGGTTAGTGTGGTCAGTGGTTAAAACAGTGGTGCAGTGGTCCAATAGTGGTTTTAGTGTGGTCAGTGGTTAAAACAGTGGTGTAGTGGGCACTAGTGGTTAGTGTGCGTCAGATGGTTTAATAGTGTGTAGTGGTCCAATAGTGGTAGTGTGGTCAGTGGTTAAACAGTGGTGTGTGGGTCCAATAGTGGTTGTGTGGTCAGTGGTTAATCAGTGGTTGTAGTGGTCCAATAGTGGTTAGTTAGTGGTCAGTGGTTTAAACAGTGGTTGTAGTGGTCCAATAGTGGTTAGTGTGGTTCAGTGGTTAAACAGTGTGTAGGTGGTTCATAGTGGGTAGTCGTAGTCAGTGGTTTTTTTAAACAGTGGTTGTAGTGGTTCACAATAAGGCCGGTTAGTGTGGTTCAGTGGTTTTAAACAGTGGTGTAGTGGTCCATTAAGTGGTTAGTGTGGTCAGTGGTTAAACAGTTGTGCAGTGGTCCAATAGTGGTTATGTAGTCAGTGGTTAAACAGTGGTGTAGTGTCCAATAGTGGTTTAGTGGGTCAGTGGTTAAACAGTGGTGTAGTGGTCAAATAGTGGTTAGTGTTGTGGTCAGTGGTTAAACAGTGGTGTAGTGGTTCCAATAGTGGTTAGTGTAGTCAGGGTTAAACATAGATGTAGTGGGTCCAATAGTGGTTAGTGAGGTCGTGTTAAACAGTGGTGTTGTGCGTCAATAGTGGTTTGTGTACGTCAGTGGTTTAAAC